ACACACACACACACACACACACACACACACACACACACACACACACAGTAATTTTGGAAGAGAAAGCACCAGCAAATGTGATCAAGACTAAGCAGAACCTTGAAGAAAGCTAGGGATGGCATTGAGGCTAAGGTGAGGGAGGAATGAATTCTAGGACTCAACACATGAAGATGAAATGTCATGTACAGGGAACAAAATAAATTGATTTGTCTTAGTGAAAGAGAATGATGGAAATATAAAGAAATTTCTTTATGGCAATATTGTTTTCTCAGTCCACATTCTTGACCTTTGTGAAGGCTTTTTACTGTTGACCCCTCTCTTGTCATGAAAATTTTGTCCTCTTTGGTTTTTGTGACATTTTATCTTGGTTTTCTTTCTTGCCTATCCAATTTTTCTCAGTCACCTTTGTTAACTCTTAATTTATAGGTATGTCACCGACATGATATATCACAACCTCTAATTCTCCAAGTCACTGTCCTGGACCCTCTTCTTTTCCCCTACTGTCTCTCACTTGGTGACCTCATCAGTTCCCACAAATTTAATCATACTCTCTCTAGATGACTCTCATATCTATAATCCAACCATAGTATCTCTCCAAAGCTCCAGTCCTATATCACAAACTACCTATTGGTTGTATGGAACTGAATGTCCTGTGGGCATTTCAAACTCACCCTATCTAAAACAGAACCCATTTTCCTCCCAAAACTCACCCTTCTACCAAACTTTTGTATTTCTTACAGTTACCCAGGCTTGCAAATTTGGTGTCATCCTCAACTCCTTATATTTCCTTATCACAATAAAGCTAAACAGTTTTCAAGTCTTGTCATTTCTACCACCACAAAATTCCCTACATCCCTTTCCTCTTCTTCATTCAGATATCTACCACCTTCTTTAGGCCTCATCACTTTTCACCAGGATTATTGCAATAGCTTCCTAATTTATCTCCCTCAAGTCTTTCCCCTCTCCAATAAATCCTCCACACTACCGCTAAAGTGATATTCCTAAAGCATAGGTCTGATTTATGTCACTCTTAAGAAACTCCAGTGGCTCCCTTTTTCCTTTAGAATCAAATGCAACCTTCTGTGGTATTTAAAGCACTTGACAATCTTGCTGTAACCACCTTTCCAAGTTTATTAAATATTGTCCCCCTTCACATTCACTACAGTTCAGCTAAACTGACCTTCTTCCTGTTCTATCAGCATTCATAGTTTCCTTCAAATCTCAGCTCAAAAACATTTTGCTGTATAAGACCTTTCCTGATCTTCACAGCTGCTACTACTCTCAAATTACCTTCTGTTTATGTTGTGTGTATATATTGTCTCCTCCCAATAGAAAGTGAACTTCAGGATAGACACTATTTCATTTCTCTTTGTATCCCTGATGCCTAGCATGTTATTGATTGATTGTGGTGAGTCTTTCCAGTCTTAGCTAGTTTAGTCTTAAGTTGACACAGAGTAATGCATCAATGAATTTGTACCACTCACAGCCTTCAAGAACCCAGGGTTACTTCCATGCCAAGATGAGGTGCTTGAGGAAGTTTTAATGGAAAAATTATT